CATGCAACAGACATGACCTGGAGTAAGTGGATGGCCTTAATAACTCAACGGGCACGGATGGGGAACCTCGATTGTCCTGGTCTGGTAGAGGTCATCACCAACTGGCCAGAAAGTGCTGACCTCGGGATGCCCCCAGAGAACAAAGTGAACTGTGCTGAGGAGGCCCCTCCTTACAGTGACTGCCCTGATGGGGAGAAAGCCTACGCTCTTTTCACAGATGGTTCCTGTCACCTTGTGGGCAGCAAGAGAATGTGGAAAGCAGCTATTTGGAGTTCTACCAGGCGAGTGGCAGAAGCGAGAGATGGAGGACAGTCCAGCCAGTATGCTGAAGTAAAAGCCATCCAGCTATTCCTGGACGTGGCTGAGCGGGAACAGTGGCCAGTGCTTTACATCTACACTGATTCCTGGATGGTGGCAAATGCCTTGTGGGGGTGGCTGAAGGACTGGAGGAAGAATGGCTGGCAGAGGAAAGGCAGGCCTATTTGGGCTGCTGACCTCTGGCAAGACATTGCCACACGCCTGGACAAACTGCTAGTAAAGATCAGGCACATAGATGCTTACATACCTAAACACAGGACCACCAAGGAGCACAAGCAAAACCACCACGCGGAGCAGGCTACCAAAATCTCCCAAATAGACTTGGACGGGGGGCACAAAGGGGAAGTTTATCTTGCCTGCTGGGCACATGACTCCTCTGCTCACCAAGGGAGAGATGGCACTTGCCACTGGGCTCGTGACAGAGGGATAGACATGTCCATGGACTGTACTGCACAAGCCATCAGTGAGTGTGGCACCTGTGCTGCTATCAAGCATGCCAAACGCATGAAGCCCCTGTGGCAGGGGAACCGGTGGTCCAAGTACAGTTTTGGGGAGGCCTGGCAAATAGACTTCATCACCCTGCCTCGATCCTGCAGTGGCAAACAGTATGTGCTTACGATGGTGGAAAGGAGCATGGGGTGGCTGGAGACTTACCCTGTGCCTCATGCCACTGCCCGCAACACCATCCTGGGCCTGGAGAGGAATGTCCTGTGGAGACATGGCACTCCAGAGAGGATCGAGTCGGACAACGGGACCCATTTCAAAAATCATCTTGTCAGCAGCTGGGCAAAGGAACATGGGATCGAGTGGATCTTTCACATCCCGGCACAATGGCCTGCTGAAGACACCCCTAAAAGCCATGGGGGGTGGAACTTTTAAGAACTGGGAAAAGCACCTAGCGCATGCTATGTGGCTGGTGAACAGCAGTGGATCTTTGAACAGACCAGGTCCTGCCCAGTCAA